AGCGCGTTTTTCAACCGAATTCTCTGAAATTTGGTACATTGGGTTCTTATTTAGTGCAAATATCTACACAAAAAATTGTAAACATCGGTCCACTTTTTCTGATAGCACCCATATAAGGGTACCCCCCAATTTTCGGTATTTTGAAGTTTTTGAGTGCGTTTTTCAACCGAATTCGCTGAAATTTGGTACATTAAGTTCCTATTGGGTATCAAATCTCCCCACCAAAAATTATAAACATAGGTCCTTTTTTCTGATAGCCCCCATATATGGGTACCCCCAATATTCGGTATTTTGGGGTTCTTGAGCGCGTTTTTCAACCGAATTTGCTGTGATTTGGTATTTTTTTTATTAATATTCACCCCATTTTAGAGGTAGTCCCCATATAGCCCCCTTTTTTATATTAAAATAGTTATGCAATTTCTTCCGCGTTTTGGGTTTTGTTCTAAGACTCTGTTGTAATCATGTCACCTGCGGAGGATATCGAGATAAACAACTAGAACGTAAGGTTCGATAATGAACTATATATTAACTATAACTCGTTTTAAGACCTAGCTCCTGTGTGGGAGGAACCAGAAGCAGTGGATCGATATTCCCCATCTTCGAACTTGAACTAAGTTTCGAAGAAATAATAAGATGGGCAAAGTTTGGATGAAAACAAATTTTTCTGAAATAAATTTGGTCTAAAGAAACATGGGATCTAGAACCATCTTAACCGTGTCATTATTCATAAAGCTGAGGGTATATAATTGTCCATTAAAAATTTCTGAAATTTGTTTTATAGTTTACATTGTCCACTTTTTGGTATTTTCCTACATTTTCATTTCAAGTACCCTCCTATGGTGGAGGGTATCCAAAGTTCGGCCCGGCCGAACTTAACGCTTTTTCACTTGTTTAATAATATATTCTTTGAAAAAATCTTGATAAATCTTGATACTCGAGTAGAGTATTTTTATACCCGCACTGTGGTACAGGGTACTATGTCTTTGTGCATATGTTTGTAACAGAATATGCATAAAATCACTATTTATGTCGATTTATGCATGTCCGTCCGTCTGCCGTCTGTTCATGTTAAATTGTAAACAAAGTACAGGTCACATTGTTGATTCGAATTGAATGAAATTTGGCGCAGCTCATTTATTTGGCCCAAGGATGAACCCTATTGAAATGGGGAAAATCGGTTTAGATTTACATTCGTCCGATTTTACGTAAATAGTGCACCAAAGTCCCTATATATCTTTTGATTTGCACGAAATTTGGCATAGCGTACTGAATTAAGTCTATTACGATATGCGTTAATTTGAAAATCTGTTCCCATATATTTTCGTCCGATTTAGTGTAAATGGTGCACCAAAGTCCTTATATATCTTTCGATTTGCACGAAATTTGGCAAAGCGTACTGAATAAAGTCTAGAATAATGTGTGCTAGGTTTCGTGGAAATCGTTTCTTATTTAGATATAGCTCTTTTATATTTTTTCTTACGATTTTATGTAAATTGTGCACTAAAGACCCAAAGTTTGTCCGATTGCCACACAATTTTGTGCAATGAACTGTAGTTAATATAAATTACAATATAAATTTAATTTGTTTATGTAAACAAATATTTTTTGATTCAATGACATATTTTTCAAAACCAAGGAGTTTGGTCGTAAGTCACTCGAATTCGTTCGTTTAGAATTTTACAAAAACAGGCTGTTAATCTCTGGCAAGTCTCGTTGAAATCGTTTCGATATACAGTGACGAGCAGAAATGTGTACATGCTTGCACATTGGACACTTTTTACGTCATAAAAATAAAAATATAAAAGCAAATTTTAAAATTTTGGTTGTATTTTATAACGTATTTCGTACCTAACAAATCAACCTAAAGTTAAAGAATTTAACTCTTTAATTTATAAGAAAAAACAGAGAAAAGTAAATCAACTACAATGTACTCACTTTTGCTCTTTTGAACAAATATGCAGAATTTAAATATTTTTATTAATTATACCATAGTTTTATATTTTTAATGTATGATTTATGAAATTTGACATATTTTAAACCAATTTTAGTACAATTTCATTGGAACCTCAGATCCACTACCAAAGTTCGTTTAAATTATTAGGGGCTGATTGGTACTGTCCCACCTCCCTCTTTGCGAATAGCCCCAAATTATCATTCGGATTGATGTCGAAACTTTGTCCTGACCACTGTGTTATTTCAAAATTTTGCTCACGAAGATATTCTTTCACGAATTTTGACGTATATCTTTGATCACCGTCCTGCACATAATAACTTCTTCTACAGAATAGGCGCACTTAGCTACCTAAACTGACTGATATGACTCTACAATGATCTAAATGAACTTCTTTCATTATTATATTGCCAATTTTTTAACATCGGTCCAGGACCCATAAGTTAAAGCCTACGCATACCATGGCAATTCCTCAACCGTGCTTCACATTGGGCCTTTGAATTAGTTGTCATCACCAATAATGCTTATCGTCGGATTGAAAACGGTTGAATTTGGATTCGTCGGACCCGATCACACGTTTCCAGTCGACCACAGTTCAACTTTTGGTCTAGTTGAAAAGTCAGTTTTTTCAACTTATCCAATGTCGTCTAACAGGTTTGGCGAGTGTTAAGGAAGCATAGTTAAAACTTATCAAATTACATTTCCCTTTCATTTTGCGGTGTACGACCTCTAATTTGAGGTTTGGGAACAACGGAAGACCGATTTTGTACCAACATGACCAATAATTGACACAATTTAAGTCCCTTAGCAATTTCCAGGGTAGAACAGATTTTTCCGAATGTCCTCTTCAGTGTTTATTATATATATATTTCTTCTTGAATTATTATTATTAGTTATTTATTTGACTTTTGTTCAAAACTTGGTAACATTTTTTAGTAAACGGGACTTAAATGATGTAAAACTTATACATTTTCTTAAAAAAAACTAATGAAAACCAAAAAAAGATTTGACAAACGTGATTTTACATTCATTTTCTGCACATTATTAAAAAAAATGCAGACATGCAAAAAAGTTCGTTTTATTTAATTTTTCTTAGTTATTTTTAAGAGTTAGATTTTTATATTTAGGTTGTTTTGTTAAGTACAAAATACCCAATAAATTGCAACAAACATTTTTGAAATAGCTTTTTTAGTTTATTTTTATGACGTGAATAGTGTCCAAAATGCAAACATGTACTCGTTTCTGCTCTGTAGGTGCACTAAACTCTTCAGGTTAGCCCTTCAGATATTTATCGAAATAATCAACGGGAGTCCGATTGAGATGTGCTTTAAACTGATTTACATAATTTTGTCCCATTGTTAGAAGCAACTCTATATTTGACCAAATGAACAATTTAGTATAGGCGCAGAATTACATGTTTATGGATCCAATTTCATTTTACTGGTCCTTCAAAGAGGCGGCGGCTGATAGAATTAATCTGTTGAATATACCCAAAGCGGTGAAGGGGATCATATAGGCTTTATTACTTTCTACTACTTTCCTTACTGGTTTGATGTTAAAACAACAATAAACCTTAATGAAAAAATTTCCGCAATTTTTTTAATACATTTATTTTTTGAATTTCCTTGGATTTTATTGTTTTAAAATATTTAAATTAAACAAATTCTGCAGAATAATTCCTGTTTTTATTTTCCATTAAACATTTTTTAAGAAAAATTTGAGTTGAACAGAACTAATACCATAGACAGACGACAGCCTTAATTCGAATTAAAAATTTCTTAATTTGAATTAATATTTTACCCCTGACAGACGAGAGTTTCTGTATTTACGAAACAGTTTTTTGCTTCAAAACAATTGTTTGTAGGATGAACATTTTTACATTTGTTTCGATATTTTTCGGGATTACATCTCTAGGAAATAGATACATGACATAAAGGAGGAATAACACCTATTATGATCTTAGCAAAACAGCTCTCAATTTAAAAAATGGTTGAAATTTGCCTTCATTTCTTATTTTTATTTTCATAAATATAAATAAATTTGACAAGAAACAATTAATTTTCGACAGCATTGCCATATTGAAATTGCCTAATTCAGTATAAATTCAGTTCGGTTTTGTGCATTAACAACACATAAAAATGAGGATAATGTACAAGTTAATTTGAATTAAGGCTGTTAATGCAAATTAAGGCTGTCGTCTGTCTAGGCTATAAAATACAGTTGGGCAGCCTTGCACACCAGTGTTGATTCGTTGTCTTAACATTTTTGGATGTTTAAACAAAAGTAAGATAAATAAAAATTGTTTCCACAGTTTGTCTAATGTATTTATTTTTTATCCTTCCTGTGATATTATTTATGTTTTAAAAATATTAAATTATTAAAATTTCGCAAAACAATTGTTTTTTATTTTCCCTTAAAAAAAATTAAGATAAATTCTGCCTGCCATTGGCAACATGCACACCAGCGTTTTTGATAATTGTCTCTCAGTTACGCTCTCACATACTTACTCTCAATTTAGTTCTGTTCAACTCTGCACTATGTTATCTTCACAATGTGAAACTCTCTTTTCATGCATTGCTGCACATGTGATGCGGACATGCACACAATTCTCGATCTTTTCTGTTCTGATCAGTTGAAAAATAACAGCACAAGAGGGGAGATCTTGTTCGTTTTGTTTGTGAAGACTTAAGTGAAGTGAACGTGTGTGTTTATTTTTTGCAGGTAATACAAATGATTATACATTGAGTTTTTATCTTCAAATGTGTATTGAAGTCGTTGTCTTTTTTTACGGTTCGATGCTTACATGGTTTCACAAGGGATGGATTAAATGGTTCATGTGCAGAGAAATGCATATGAAACACTCGTACAGTAGTAGATATCGGATATAAGAAACGTTGCCATAACATTATTTTGTTTATGTTTTAACGGGAAATAATTTGTCAAGAAGAAAGTCGGGAACAGTGTTACCGCTGGGAATTTTCAAAAAGTCGATCACTTGAAAAAAAGTCGCACGGAAAACTGAATTTGTCAATTAAACAGTTCCGAGAATATGTCAGATACACGAGGAACTCAAAAACGACGTAGACAAATCCAAATTAGTTTGAATTTACACATAAAAAGGAAAATACAACTTAACAACAAACCGCTTAAAAAGTTGCAAACAGAGTTACAGGACAAGAAAAAGGTTGCAAATAGCAACTTTAGTCGCACAACCGTAACTCTGCCCATGACGAACAGTGTAAAACACTGCTAAGCGGGGTTTTACACTGTTGGTGATTGGGATTGGTGTTGAGAGTTTTTCCCTCTCTCTCATTGGTAAATTGAGAGTAATTAGAGTTGCGCTATTTTTATTATTTTGTAACAAGCGTACTTTTTGTGCACAAAAGGTACGAAATTACATAAATGTACCAGAACGAAAAATAGATTTTATTTATTATTCGTGAATACATTCACGCTTAAATTATAACATATATTATTTATTGGAATAGCTGGTATAAATGTTGGCCAATATTTCTCGATAATTATGATTTATTATCATTTGAAGTAAAATTTTAGGTACCTTTTCGTACTTTTTTGTTCCTACCTGTGGCAATGTTTTCCAACTCTATTCCCAATTTACCAATGAGAGAGAGAAAAAACTCTCAATACCAATCCCAATCACCAACAGTGTAAAACCCCGCTTACTCTCACTTAGTTATGCCGCACCCACCACTGTACGCAACCGTAACTGAGCGTCGATGGTTAAACCAGCGTTCTCGTTTTTGTACCCTCCACCATACTATGGAGGGTATATTATTATACCCTCTACCATACTATGGAGGGTATATTAATTTTGTCATTCCGTTTGTAACTCATCGAAATATTCATTCCCGACCCTATAAAGTATATATATATTCTTGATCAGGGTAAAATTCTAAGACGATCTAGCCATGTCCGTCTGTTGTAATCACCCAATCTTCTGGAGGAATTGAGATAGGGCGCTGAAATTTTGCATAGGGTTGTCTTTTGTCTGCAGGCAGGTCAAGTTCGAAGATGGGATATATCGGTCCACGGTAAGGCATAGCTCCCATATAAGGGTACCCGCCAAATTTCGGTATTTTGGGGATCTTGAGCGCGTTTTTCAGCCGAATTCGCTGAAATTTGGTACATTGGGTTCCTATTGGGTACTAAGTGTCTCCACAAAAAATTATAAGTATGGTCCACTTTTTCTGGTAGCCCCCATATAGCGGTACCTCCTAATTTTCAGTATTTTGGGGGGTTAGGTCGTATTTTACCACCGAATTGGCTGTAATTTAGTATTTTGAGTTCTTAATAGTTAATAAATCTCTCCACAAAAAAATGTGAATATAGGTCCATTTTTTCGGATAGCCCCCACATAAGGGCACCCAAAATTTTCGGTATTTTGGGGTTCTTGAGCACGAGGCACATTTTCACTGTATCAAAGTGTATACACCACTGTTCACCAAACAGGCGCCCGTGGGCGCTTTGGGAGAGTACCAATACAACAACGTTCACCAAACAGGTGCCCGTGGGCGCTTTGAGAGAGTACCAATACAATCACAGTTCTGTGTTCGAACTCAACATTATTCTCGACATCGAACAAGTCGTATGCTTTGCAGTGCTTTAACATATACGATCTGCACCGAGAGAGCGAAAATTACTCTTCCAACGGATCTATGCGTGTGTCCAACACAATCATAGCAGTTTGCATATGTATTGTTGGCTAACCCTGCAATACAATCACAGTTCTGTGTTTGAACTCAACATTATTCTTGACATCGAACATGTCGTATGCTTTGCAATGCTTTAACATAGACGATCTGTAAGAGTGACTCTCCCAACGGTGAACACAATCATAGCAGTTTGCATATGTATTGTTGGCTAACCCTGGTATACACCCTCATTAGTAATAAGGCTGAGGGTATAAATATTCATTAAAAATTGCTGAATTTTTTATTTGGTGTACATTATGGTTTACATAATCAGTTTGTAGATAGGTCACTTTTTGGTATGCTCCCTTTATTTTCATTTCAAGTACCTGTCAGTATATCTATGGTGGAGGGTATTCAAAGTTCGGCCCGGCCGAACTTAAAGCTTTTTCACTTGTTCTCTTTGCGTCAGTCGTTTTTCAACACCAATGCCGATAAGTGTAAAACCCGCTTTCAGTTGTTTCAATTGAATGTGTGTGTGTGAGAATAGTGATATTTACTCTCGCAAGAGTGCACGAGTGCGGGGTTCGCCCGATACTGGTTTAAAGCAGGCTCGAGCAGAGCGTCAAAAATTTTGTTCTCAGGCATTTGTTTTTGTGTGTTTCAATGGTTTTTCAATTGGTTCAGTTGGATGTGTGTATGATAATGCTGGGCAAGCATGGGAACTGGTGCCCTTATTTACATGTATCAATAAGTTCGTTCTATGCGTTCTCTTTTAGTAAGTCATTTCATATGGCGGTTTCTCATTTGTTCTCTGAGCATTTTGTCGTTGCACACCTCTAGTGTAAGAGAATAGTGATACCCTTGAGAATAGATTACCCTTGCGAGAGAGCACGCGTGCGGTGGTTCGCCCGATACGGTTTAACGCAGGGTTAGCCAACAATACATATGCAAATTGCTATGATTGTGTTGGACACACGCATAGATCAGTTGGGAGAGTAATTTTCGCTCTCTCGGTACAGATATCTGCAAGCATTTGGAAGTGAGTTTCTCACTCCATCGCCTAATGAGTCACTTCCGCGTCACTTCTTTCCCGAGAAAAGGCGATAGTTTGTATATTTACAATAACAAAGCTATTGTTGTCTACCTTTTATCGACTTGGAGTTACTTCTAAGTGTCGTTTTAGAGGATAAAAGAAAACGGTTCAAATTTTACAATAACAATTTGCACAGTTTCAAAATTTTCTCTTATTTGTTTGGGAAAAAAAAGGGGGAGAAAACATATATAACTCAGTTAAAATAAGATCTTCAAAGTGAATGGTAATCGACAAACAAAAAGTGAATTAAAATTGATTACTAATTTTAAAAATATTAAGTGCCTTCATTTATAGAATATGGATAAAATGGTGTTATTTACATATTTAAAAAATTATAATAGTGTAAAAATTATTAAAAGAAGTTAAAAATAAATTTCTTAGATTTGTGAATATATTAAAGTTCTTTAAAAAAAAAAACTGCGAATAACTATTTAGAATGCCTGACTAAGCAAATCGCTTTCGCGAGAAGTAAGTAACGCCGAAGTGAAAAGTGACGTCTAGGCGATAGAAACAGTTGCGGAATACAATCGCTTTCTTATCGCGGAAGTCACCTCCTTCGGGAAGAAATGAACCACTCCCGCGTCACTTCCGAGTGTCTTCCAAAATGTTACCCAGACGATACTTCCTGGAAGTGACCCGGACGTGGTTCATTTCTTCCCGAAGGAGGTGACTTCCGCGATAAGAATGCGACTATCTTCCGCAACTGTTTCTATCGCTTAGGCGTCACTTCTTTTTCACTTCCGCGATAGTTTTTGCTTGCAGGGATAGTATATGTTAAAGCATTGCAAAGCATACGACAGGTTCGATGTCGAGAGAAATGTTGAATTCGAACACAGAACTGTGATTGTATTGGTACTCTCCCAAAGCGCCCGTGGGCGCCTGTTGTGAACGTTGGCTTAAAGCAGTATCGGGCGAACCCCCGCACGCGTGCACTCTCGCGAGATTGGTGTCGAGAGTTTGTCTGTCTCTCATTGGTGTACAAATTTTAGTCTCAATCGGATAACTATTATTCACTTTGTTTTACTACAATTGTGTTGTAGTTACGTCTTTTTGTTTCAGAAAATATCAAGCCAAAAGGACGTAACTGGCATTAAACCTTTAAAAACCTAAAAGAAAAATAAATATTTTTTAAATAAGTACGGCTCTATAGTGCTGTTAAACTTTGGGAAAATTTACAGCCATGCTCCATTTATGTAGATTTTATAACGTTTTTTGCTTCTCATGTTAAATTAGTAAAAATGTAGTTACGTCCGTTTGCATTTATGATGACGATATGCTCTTCGGTGCACCTTTACATAAAATCGGAAGAAAATATATATACAATCTATATCTAAATATTAACCGATTTCAACAAACCTTAACACACATCCTTCTTAACTCAATTGCATTCGCAATCGGACAAATATTGGGAATTTCGTGCACCATTTACATAACATCTGACGAAACTATCTATGGGAGCTGTATCTAATTCTGAACCGATTTAAAAAAAAAACTTCGCATACAACAGTCTGAACCTAATTCAGTACGCTGTGAATAATTTTGTCTCAATCGGACAAATATTAGCAGTTTTCTGCATCATTCAAATAATTTTGTCTCAGTCAGACAAATATTAAGAGTTTTGTGCATCATTCACATCAAATCGGACGAAACTATATCTGTACCGATTTCAACGAAACTTCCAACACATCAATCGGGACCTAATTGAGTACGTTGTGCAAAATTGTGTGTAAATCGGACAAATATTGGGAGTTTTTGTGCATCATTCACATAAAATCGGATGAAACTATATGTGGGAGATATATATGTAAATCTGTACTTTGTTTACAATATAACATGGACAGACGGATGGACGGACATGCACAAATCGACTCAGAAAGTGATTCTATGTATATTCTCAAAAGGAACCATGGGTCTTAATACCCTGTGCCACAAATACCGAGAATCGGGGTGTACCGTTATATGGAGGCTACCAGAAAAAGTGGAGTAATTTCAGCGGATTCGGTTGAAAAACGCCCTTAAGAACCCCAAAATATCGAAAAATTGGGGGTACCATTATATGGGGGCTACGCGGATCAAATGATCAAGAATATACATACTTTAAAGGGTCGGAAATGAATATTTCGAAGAGTTGCAAACGGAAAAACGAAATTAATCTACCCTCCATGCTATGGTGGTGGGTATAAAAATAATAAATAATTAATATTTCTAATAATTGTTTTTTTACAGAAAGTTCGATGGCGGGTTTTAATGTTTGTCGTTTATGTCGAAAATCGTGTAACGACAGTTTACGCCTTTATGATGCCAACGGGGCAACAAATGAAATTTATGCCATTACCGTGAAATTCTTTCAGCCCATGGTAGGTTTATTCAGACACAATTACAACAAAATGTGTATACATTTCATAATACGTTTGTTTTTTTTCTTTTAGTTTTTAGAACTGGAAAACAATTCACAAAATCAAATTTCTGTATTGTGTATGGAATGTTGGCATCACATATCGAGTTTTAATAATTTTCAACAAACTATAGTTCTAATACATTCAAATCTTCATTCAATTGCGGAATCTGTTGTAGCGCAAAATCAGGGACTTGCAGAAGAAGTATCTGCTGAATTAAATTTAAAATCAGTGAATGCTACGGAAACCATTTCAATAGCCCATGATGATGAGTTTATCGAAGGCAACGCTGGCGAGCGGAAATTAAATGTTACCGATTGTGGGACAACATTTGAAGCAGATTTCGAGACAAATGCTGCTGCAACATATTCCTCGAATATACCAAGTAACGAATCAACCGAAAATGTTACACTTGACACCAACGAAGATGCAATCGATACTGATGAAGAAGAAGACATTGTATATGGTGATTTGACAGGTGGTGATAATTGTGATATTCAATCGATTACCAGTTCTGAGGAATCAAATGGTCTCCTGCAGGAATGCACAAAATCACAAACATCAAATGACTCCGCAAGCGCAAATAGTTCACAAAATCACAAATCAACGGATGCCTCATTCAAGTGCACCTCGAAAAATGCTCGATCCTCGAGAAGAGATAAAGATACCTCGAAACAGATTAATGAGAACATAGCCAAATGGATACCACGCATAAAATGCCGATTGTGCCCCAAGGTCTGTAAAAAGTTTGGTCGCATCAAGCGGCATTATCATACACATCATCCAGAAGATGAGTTTTATGTTACATGCTGTGGACGAAAATTTAAATATCGTTATCGTATGGAAGATCATGTCCTCTCATCCCATTTGAATCCGTCTGCTTTCAAGTGTTCAAATTGTGATAAGAAATGTGTAAACCGAACTGCATTACGGCGGCATGTACAAAAAAAGTGCTCCAATGACAAGTGAAGTATTTTGTTTCATGTCTACAAATAGAATGTATATATTTGTTATATAAATAAACCAAGTCCGTAAGCAGATATAGGCTTAACATATATAGAGTCTTAGTGATAAAATAGGTTAATAATAATTCTGTAATTAATACGTAATAAATAATAACAACAATTTGATTTTTTTTAATGTTAGCATTATTTTAAATGGAAAGGAATTTAAATGAGGCTAAAACCATTATTTTTCACGTGGAAATAATGCGTAGGATTTTATACATCCAACAAGCAAAGAGGTCAATAAATTAGGCCGGAGTGAATTTGTAATACCATAAAATAAAAGTCGGATTTTGATTTCCATGGTTTTCTTTATTCAGTTCATTTGCACAAAGTTTTTATTCTTTTTATACCCTTGACCATATTATCGAGGGTATTTTGTCATTCCGTTTGTAACTCATCGAAATATTCATTTCCGACCCTATAAAGTATATATATTCTTAATCAGGGTAGAATTCTAACACGATCTAGCCATGTCCGTCCGTCTATCTGTTGTAATAACGCTTCTGAAGGAATTGAGATAGGTTGCTGCAATTTTGCATAGGGTTGTCTGTATTCGCTATTTTGCGGTTCTTGAGCGTGTTTTTCACCTGAATTCGCGTTTAAACCAAATTCATTGCAATTTGGTACATTGGGTTCTTTTTGGATACCAAACGTCTCCACTACAAATTATAAATATCGGTCCACTTTATCTGGTAGCCCCCATATAACGGCAGCCCCCAAATTTACGGTATTTTGAGAGGTTTAAGTGGGTTTTTAAACCAAATTCGCTGTAATTTGGTACAATGGTTTCTTTTTGGGTACCAAATTTCTCCACTAAAAATTATAAATATAGGCCCATTTTTTCGGGTAAATTTTCGGTATTTTGTATTCGAATTCGATGTAATTTGGTATTTTGTAGTCGCATATGGTAACAAATCTTCCTACCAAAAATTATGAATATTCGCCACACCCCCCCCTTGGGGTGGTTTCCATATAACCCCCTTCTTATATTAAAACAGCTGATTAGTTCCGTGTGTAGGGGTTGTCCCTATATAGGCGTATTATACCATAGTATAAGGGGTAGTCGTTACTCGAAACAGTCAGTTTTACCCTACAAACTATGGAATTCTAAGGCGATTTAGCCATCGATTGTAATCATTCCGCTTTCTAAGGAAATCGTGATATAAAACTCGAATCTGACGAAAATGTAATATATCGGCCAGCATTTAGGCATCTCCCCCATATAATTATACCTCCTGAAGGAAAGAATTGAGACACAAAAAAAACATATTGGGTTCGAAATTGACAAATGGCATAGCCCTCATATAATTGTTACCCCAAATGTAAATGTATTCACGAGAGAGAAAAAACTCTCATTACGAATGCCAATGACGAATAGTGTAAAAGAGCGCATAAATGACTGTGCAGCTGCATATTACGTTATCTTCACAATGTGGAACTCTCTCCTCATGTACTGGTGCACAGTTTGAGATGTGGTCGTGCACCCAATTCGTGATCTTTGTTGTTCGGATCAGTTTTAAAATAACAGTACAAGAGGGGAGATCTTGCTCGTGTTGTTTGTGAAAAGTTAAGTGAACGTTTGTGTTTATTTTCTGCAGGTAATACAAATGATTATACATTAGAGGTGGCAACGAAAAAATTCTCAGAGAACAAATGAGAAACCGCCATATGAAATGACTTACTAAAAGAGAACGCAGAGTACGAACTTATTGATACATGTAAACAAGGGCACCAGTTCCCATGCTTTCCCAGCATTATTATACATTGAGTTTTTATTTTCAAATGACGACTTCAATAGTTATGTTTTTTTACGGTTCGATGCTTGCTTGGTTTCTCAAGGTATGCTTGGTTCATAGGTGCCCAAAATTAAAATGCGTTAGTATGTGTGAGAGAAAACAGAACAGTACTGAACAAAATTGTGTGTACATTTTTGTGGTCGGAAAAAATTATTGATGAATTCAATTTTTGTTATTATATAAAATAAAAGCATTATTAAAAATGTTTTTATATGCATTACAAAGTGTATATGTCATAAAAATCTAATAAAGTTTATAAAGTAGCATATACCGAGATAATAATCATATTATAATATAATAATATTAAATACTACGATAATTATCAAATATTTAATTCTTTAAAAAAACAGAAATTGTTCTGTTGTTTTTAAAATTTTTTAAGCATACAAAATGCATTTTGAATAATAATATAAAAATCCAAATATACTGAAACACTTTTATCCCTAAGTGTTATTTCGTTGATTTTCAGTTCTGCGGACACGACGTCGTGCGCGCACCCCAGCATGTGTTCATTCGTTGCCTGTCAAACAACGACTGACTGAAAGAGCATAACAATGCGTGTGAGTAGGCAGCTACTTTAAAGTATACTGATGGGCACCTATGGCTTGGTTTCTCAATGGTTGATGTGCAGAGAAATGAATATGAAACACTTATACGTGTATCTGATTTCTTCATAATATTTTGCCTCTCTTGGCTTCGTGGGTTGCCATAACATTATTTTGTTTATGTTTTAACAGGAAATAAATTCTCAGCCAGAGGTCAGGAATAGAGTAGCACATATGGTTTTCAATTACAAATGACGTTTGTTGCTGACGTACGGCCGTTTTTTGTGTTATTTACAGTGACATGAACGGGTGGCGTAGATAATGATAGATACCAAGGAACGGTTCTAATTGGCTTTAAAATGGCAAAGCCCAGGCTTATCTTGGTCCCTCTGCGTTGAGACGTCATGTTAGTTACCCTTACTCGAAAAACACCATATACTATGGAAAAACAATGGAAAAGAAAACCAAGCTCCCCGCAAACGTATAAAGAACCACAATCTGCACTTGGAATGTGCTTTGGCGGATGTATTCAAGAAGTACAAAGTCGATATTTTTGCCTTACAGGAAATGCGATGGAAAGGGACAGGCGTAAGTAAATCAGATGATTACTGACTGTGTTATTACTGCCATGGAACGAGACATGAATTTGGGTAAAAATCAGAAAGGAAAATACTTTTTGTTCCACCCTCGGTTGAAGAAACATCAGACAACGGCATAAGGTTGATTTACTTCGCGCCAGCAAAAAAACATGGTAGTTAGCAGCACTAGATATAAGTATCTCGATATACACAAGGCCACCTTGTTTACTCCCGATCAAACAACGATAAATCAAATTGTTGTAATATATGGAATCAGCCAAGGTTCGCACTCAACTTAATGTAGCAGCAAAAGTGCGATCTAACACAACACGGAAACAACACGTCGAAAAGCTGAAAATACAACAGATAGCATAATCCTACCTGTTAAACGAAACTATTCCTTCTCTGCCATTGTACTCCGAAATTAATATAGAAGTACAATGGCAGAGAATTGCCCACTATTTACGAACTGCAGCAAAAGCAATACTTGGGTACCAAAGACCGCCATCAAGAAACCCATGGTACAATCAGGAGTTGTAATGCTACCGATGTGAAAACGCAGCGTAGGGCAACCCTAAGGGCTAATGCGAAAGAGAATTATCGGGAGAAAAGGAGAGAGGAGAAACGTATTTTAAGAGAAAACAAGTGAAAAAGCTTTAAGTTCGGCCGGCCCGAACTTTGGATACCGTCCACCATAGATATACTGACAGGTGCTTGAAATACAAATATAGGGAACATACCAATAAGCAACCCCATGTTTCTTTGGAAAAAATTAGTTTCAAAAATTTTTTTTTATCCAAACGTTGACCATCTTATTATTTCTTCCAAAATTAGTTCAAGTTCGAACATGGGGAATATCGGTCCACTCCTTCTGGTACCTCCCACACAGGGGCTAGGCCTAAATGCGAGTTACAGTTCATATATGGTTAATTATCGAACCTTATGTTCTAGCTTTTTTCGTATCTTCCGCAGATGAAATGATTACAACAGAGTCTTAGAACCAAACCCAAACACGGAACAAATCATATAATTATTTTAATATAAAGCAGTAAGGAAAGTAAAAAGTCGGACTGGCCCGACTTTATGATACCCTTCACCACTTTGGGTACATTGTTCATATGTATCCTTACAATTGCATATTAATGTGCACTCGAAGGAACATACTCCTGCCTTTCTGCAACCCATGCTAATTTTAATTTCATTCGGGCAGATTTAGAGTCAGTCCATTGGACAAATTTATGGAAAAATTTTTAGAATCGAAGAATATATAGGGGCGGTGGTACACCATTTACATTAAATCGGACGAAAATATATATGGGAGCTATATCCAAATCTGAACTGATTTTCACGAATTTTAAGACTCATGGTTCCCTTACTGAATTCAGTACACTATGTCAAATTTCGTGCTTATCCTAGGATATTAAGATACTTTGGTGCACTCTTTACATAAAATCGGACGAAAATATATATGGAAGCTATATCTAAATCGGAACCGGTTTTCAAGAAATTTTACATACATCAGTCTAGTCCCAATAATGTACGCCATGGCAAATTCCGTGCAAATCGAAAGATATATAGGGACTTTGGTGCACTATTTACATAAAATCGGACGAAAATATATATGGGAGCTATATCTAAATCTGAACCGATTTTTCCCAATTTGAATAGGGTTCGTTCTTGGGCCAAATTAGTGAGCTGTGCCAAATTTCATCCAAATCGGATTATAAATGCGACCTGCACTTTGTTTACAATTTTGCATGGACCGACAGACGGACGGACATGCATAAATCGACTTAAAAAGTGATTCTATGCATATTCTCAAAAGGAACCATGAGTCTATCTCGTTTCCTTTTGCCTGTTACAAACATATGTACAAAGACATAATACCCTGTACCACAGTGTGGTGAAGGGTATAAAAAAGGGGTTATATGGGGATGACCAAAAAGGGGGCGAATATTAAAAAGTTTTGGTAGGGAGATTTGTTAC